TGCAGAACCTGGAAAAGCTGTTGCTGGTATCGATGTATAACATACTATTACTAGTCTTTTTATATAACTATAAATATATATATACATATATATATAAATTGAATTTTGGGAAACTTTAAAGGCACTGCCAACTTTGGAAAAAGTCATCCCAATTTACTGTGTTGAGTTGGCATTGTACAGAAATGGACAGCCATATTGGCCTAGAAATGTTAATTTTTTTATTTTTATTTTTTTCAATGTGTACAGGGGTAACACATCGTACTAAATATGTAAGGTCATATCTACGTGAGTTTGATTACAGAAACTAATAAAGTATCCTCTAAATAATGAAAAAAACAATAAGTTAAGACTATAAGAGCAAGAAGCAATTTAAATATGTTCAGGGACCATTTTCATCTCCATAATGAAGGATTATTTTAATGTTATATCATTTCCTTTTCTCTTTTACTTTCCTTTTTAGTTTTATTTTAGGATTCCCTATTTTTAATGTTCATAGAGAGATTTCTTTAACTGAAATACCGAATAGTTTCTCTGGTGTAGAAAACTATAATAGTACACAGGATCCTAACGAGATAATTAATAATGTGAAATAGGAAGTAAAGGGCTAAAGGTGTAGGGAAAGTGGGATGGGTGGGGGAAAGGTAATAAGGGAGAGGAAAAAAATATGAGAAACTGAAAAAATGGAAATAAAGTGTGTGTAAATGGGGAGGGGAGGAGGAGGTGAAGGGAGGGCAGGGACAAGGGGAAAAATGAGAATCAAGACCTATTATGTAAAGGTACAGAATCCCAATGATGAATGTAACTTTATTGTATACCTAGATTGTACCAATAAACTCAATAAAAAGAAAAAAAAAAAAGAAGCAACCAGCATAATGACGACAACTTACAGAATGAGAAAAAAATTTTGACAGGCATTCCTCAGAGGACTCATATCTAGAATATGTAAAGAATTCAAACAAATTAGATCCGAAAATAAAAGGCCTAGTTTAAAAAATGAGAAATTTAAATGAATAGGCACAACATAGAACAAAAAAGTATATAAATGACACACCCATAAATACAATAAATGCCAATAAATGCTCAACATCACTGGCCATTAGTGAAATGCAAATTATAACCACACTGAGGCCCCATCTTACCACAGAAAGAATGAAGAAATCAAAGAATAAATTTTTGAGATCTACAGAGGAACCCTTCTACATTTTGATAGGAATGTAAACGAGTACAACCACCATGGAAGTAAGTTAGTATGAAGATTCTGCCACAAGCTGAAATGATAAATTTCATTTTATCCAGCCATTCTCTTTCTAGGTATCTTCTCAAGTAAGTTAAAGACATCACATGATAGTGACACAATATGGCAGCATAATTCATAACTGGATCTTGGAAATGTCCTATATGTCCATCTCCAGATGAATGGATTAAAAAGTGATATGCACATACTGTGGAGTACTATTCTGCCATAAAGAAAGATAAACTTGAGTTGTTATAAAAAATGAAAGTACCTTGAGACTATAATGTTACGTGAACTGTAAATCAGACAAATGATTTTCAGTATCTCATGGCTTCTCCTATGAGAAACCCACAGTGTAAATAAAGAACAAAGTGTGATAGATAATAGTAAGTATGGATTTAGGTTTAGATAGAGGGAGGGAGAAAAAGAATGAAAAATGATGTATTATGTACAGGTAGCACCTCCCCATAGGGAAATTAAACACTGTATTACAAAAATGTACTAGTAAATAAAAAGACAAAATGCATGAACCATTTTTTTAAAAAAAGAAACAAAAATGTGGCCCAAAGTTTAAAAGTTCTGTTCTTCTAAATGTACTATTAGGCAGATGCAAAGATAAGCTACATTTTGGGGGAAGATACTTGCAAAATCTGTATCTAATGAAAGATTTATATCCAGAGTGCATACACAGAGGTTTTCAAAGGCTAAAATAATAGAAAAAATTCAATTTTTTAAAATAAAGAAAAGAATATAAAAAGATAATAGACCCAACATAGATACTGACAGAGAATATGTACATGAAAAAAGCAGTACGAATTAAAACCACCATGGGAGACCACTACTCAGACACTAACATGCTAAAATTTAAAATAACTGGTAATATCCAGTGCTGGTGAAGAATTTGAGAAGACCAGCAATTTTTTAATGATGTTAAGCATATATTTATCATATGACCCAGCTCTCCTACTCTTAGATATCATTCCAAAAGAAATAAAAATTGCACTCACAAACAAACTATATGCAAATCTTTATAGGACCTTTTCATATAATCACAAAAAGCTGGGATCAATCACCTACCAATAAGGGACCTGGAAGTAAATTTAACCAAGAGAAATCTGACATGAATCTCCTTGGGCAACTTCGACGGAGGGCCAAAATTTTCAGTCTTATTAAAAGTATGATTTAGATAGGATTTCCTTGTCTCCATTCTATTTGTCTTTTATTTCTACTATCCCCCCTCACCTTGCACCCAGACTTTGATGTCTTATTCTTAAGCAGGTGTAGAAGGCCTAGTGATCTGTCTTTTCATGACTGTTTCAGACCAAGGAGGGGAATTGATCTTCCAGCCAGGGATCAAAAGCCTCACCCTGACTGACCTAAAGGAAACAAAGGAAGATGGAGTTTTTGTTTTTGATGAACCATAATCTTTATATAGTCTGAAAAAGAGAACAACATCACTGATGCTTATGCTTTATTTTTTGAACTTGTTAAATAAACCAGAGCCAGAAAGTAACAGAATATTGATGAATAAGGACTTAAAAATAGCAGAAGTCAGTGTCATTTACCTGAGAGGTACTTTAAAGTACATTCAAATAGCAGAATGGGAATACACTAAGAGGGGCAGAAGGACACATTTGGTTAGTAGTTTAGTGGTACTGGACAAGCACACATGTATTTGTCAAGGTCAGTTCAGGCCCCTCAGGCACTACTCTTGGGGTCATGTGCAGAATCTCTTAGCTCCTTTAGTTTTTTGTGTAACAGCTATGTCATCTGCCTGGATGGGTCATGACATGACTTCCTATGGAAGCACAGGTCATTCCCCTCATTAGCAAAATGTACCCTGGCTGACTTTTGTCCTCTGTGGTCCAACAGTATCCCTGTGTGGGGGGTTAGGTGACTCGCTGGAGTTGTAGGGTCTTTTAAGAGGGGTCCCATCATGCTTGGTCCTGGATTACCTTGGAAGGCAAGGGCCAAAATATTGGCTATCCTCTTAGCCAAATACCTTTGTTAGCCTTGGTCTCAAACTTGGTTGTTGGATACCCAGAAGATCAGCTATACCTGTCTTGACGTATGAATGATAGGCTTATACTATTAAATGTTTTTAAAATATTGGATACTTTGAGGTATTTTTCATTTGGTGGCAGTTGTGGGGAGAGAGAAAGGGAAAAGGTGAAGAGGAGAAAGGGTGAAGAGGAGGAGGTGGCTGAAGACTGAGGTGGAGACCTGGCAGGGCCCCCAGGTTCTGTCCTGGGGATGCCGTGCTATGCTGTGTGAGCAGTAGTAGGGGACAGGGCATGCTTGCCCTCCTGGTGGCCATCAGGACCACAGGTGCTCTGGATGAGGCCAACCAAGGCTACATGGTCAGAGATGGCCCCCACTGTCACAGGGCCGCCACCACTAGGCCTGCTCTGCCTTTAGCAGCTGCCTCTCCTGCCCAGTGCAGGTGTGCTGCACAGTCCACTTCTGTCCAGTGCCCCTGCACCATACACAGGCGGTGTGGACCTCAGACTGGAATGGGCTGAGCAGGGAGAGGACAGAGGGCCCATGCTCCAGGCTCCTGCATGCTGGGCTGCATGAGGCAGGAAGTCACACAGTGAAAATGCAGACAAGAAATCCAACATTCATTTGTCTATCAAAAAGAAAAACATTGCTTGAGGAGCTCAGCTCCTCAGCAGCAAAGCAGCCCTTGAAAAGAAAATGTTATCTTACACCTGGGGTTAACAGGGCTCCTGGCAAGGAGGAATTTAAGTTTTCAGTGTTAAATCCTTGACACAGTTCCTTTCTCAGTCTTTGTGCTTAGAAAATGTGTGATGAATAAATAAATGAACTATGTGTAATTAAAGAAACTTCTATTGAGCACTTATATATCTAAACCCTGAGGGTTACTCTTACTCTTCCTTTTACAGATTGGAAACTGAGGCACTGAGTTAAGTACAGGATTTTCCTACAGCTTGTAGATGGCTGGGTGTGGAGATGACATTTGGGGCCTTTCTGTCTGCTCTGACACACCTCACTTCCTAGCCTCCACCCTAGGCGAGAGATGTCAGGACCGACCCAATCCAGCTGACCCTCCCCATTTGATCATGTTCCTTTATTCTGAGGAGTGGGATCCTGACCAGACAAGAAGGGGAGAAATGACTCTGCTGGGCCAGCATTGGGAGACTCCACAGCTGGGGCTGAGAAGCAGCCGGACAGGAGTTCCCTGCCCAGATGGCTTCTTCCTTGAAGAGTTGGGTGGGTGTCTGCCTACCTTGTGGGTGGCAGGTTGGATGGGCAGACAGGACTGTGAGTGACGCTTGAGGTTGTAAGGTAAGTAGGGGAGACAGTAGGAAGAGTAGGGCTGAGTCTGTGATCCAGGGTCTGGAAGCTTAGGAGCTCTGGAAATCCTGGGCCATGCACCCCACATGGGGCTTCCCATCCAGGCCTTTGCACACACCGTTCCTCGATGAGGGACTGCTCTCCACCTTCCTGTTCATGACCCCTGGTCCTTTGGTTCTGAACTTCCTTCTGGTCCTGGAGGAGGAGCTTTCTGCTCCATGGGCTGTGGGTGGACTTGCTGTCTTCCTCCTGGACCCTGTCCTCTGTGGAAGGCCTTTCACACCATCAAAAGTGACAGAAGTGACTTGTCTACAGTGAGCGCTCAAGGGATGAGGATGGTATTTTTATCTTTGTCACCCCTGCACAGGCCCAGAAATACAGCAGGAAATTCATGCATATTTGCTAAAGAGAAGAATACATGAGACTCGTGGATTTTAGTAACTTGAACATGAGACTCAGTTTCCTCTTCTGAGAGGTAGCTCTCAGGGTTGCTGTCAGGTGGCAAGAGCTCAAAGATGTGAAAGTGGAGGCTCATTGGAGGAAGTTATACAGGTTTCTAAGATCTAGATTGAGAAGCTAAGTTAAAGGGAGTGAAACACTGAATTTAAGACTCCTGGCAATGCCCAACACGCATAAGTGCCCAGTACATGTAAGACATTATCATCATGGTCATCACTATTAATTTTTATTGTTACTAGAATGCACATTTCCAAGGCAGAAGGATCACACAGGATGAATGATAGTTTCTGTAAGTTGAAATACAGAATTGTGACCCTCATCACCTGGGACAGGATGTCTGGGCAAGAAGTCATGTGGTGACTTTTCTGGAACACTGTGCTTCAGTCCTCTGAGTCACGAAGGGCCTAGGCACGTGACTTTTTTTTTTTTTTTCCTGAAGCTATTGTGACAACAGTCTGTTCAGTCAGAGACATGAAGCAGCCTCTGAGGGCCCTCCAGGAGGACAGAGACAACAGGCCACCAATTGGGCTGGCCACTGCCAGGTTCCTGGTCTAGCAGCTCTTTCTGGTGGTAGAATATGGGAAATGCAAGCAACAGTGGCACAGGGTTGGGAAATCTGCAAGGGCCTGAGTTTGGACCAACTGGAATGGAATGCAGGAGTGGGTAAGAAGGAGTTGTTAGAGATCCTTCAGGTCCAGGGGCCCAGCTGCTGTCCTCTTCCATTTTAAAAGTGGCGAGAGTGGCCAGAGGGACCCAGGAGCCTCTGGGCCTCTCCCTGACTTCACTCTTTGGTTGTGTGACCCTGGCTATTAGGGAGCCTCTCCTGAATTCTCCAACCCTGGCCCAGAGGAGGCGACTAGGAAATGACCACCTGACACTGGAGGGCTCCTGTCCAGGAAGGCAAGAGATGCTGAGTGGGAAAAGAGGGCAGCCTACGGTAGAATCTGCTGGATAAAAAAAAAAATAGCGTACACACCAAGTACAGGGCTATTTCAAATCATGTTTACCTTAGTAATGCAAAGGCAAACACAGGAAGAAGGATAACAGGATGAGAGAGTGGAGAAAGACCTTCTTTTCAGAAAGAAGCTTCCTAAGCAGAGTGTGCTAAGTCAGTTGGACAGCTCCTCCCTACTTCCAAACTGGACTTCTAGGAACACTAAAAATGCAAAATAAACATTTTTCTAAAAAGTCTGCCATTGCTGAGTAAATGATTTTGCCTGTGCTTTGCTTATTCATATAAGAACAAGACAAAGAAGACAGTTTGAAATTCGTTTTCAGAATCCCCACCTGTACACATGAGTGATTTCCCCCTCTCATTTCCAATACTCCCCTAAATTCCTCTTTTTGTACCCTATCTCATTTTCAAATTTGTGAGACAAAGGAGCTTGCTTTGTACAGAATTAACTATTTCAGTTGCAGCCCTCAAATCTAGCCCCCAGCACTCCCGGCTGAAGTCATCCAGGAGGCTCCCTGAGCCCATCCCAGCTTGTCCTGGGATGATCAAGTTTGCTTTCATTGCCTGTTTCTCAGTCTACTCAGTTAGGTCTGGATGGAGCTCTGGATATGAACTATTTTTTTAAATCCCCCAGAATTTGTTGCTGGGCCTCCCAGATGTGGGCAATGCATTTAATCCAGCCTTGCTTCCTCTTCACCCATCCAATGAGGAAACTGAGGCCCAGAAAGGGGAAATCATTAGTCTGGACTGTGCTGCTGGCAGGTGCAAAATGGGACTCACACCTGTGCCTCCCAAGGCTGAGATCACCTGCCAGCCACCCAGGGTGCTCCTTCCTGTGGCTCCTTGGTACAGTGCACCCCCGAGGGGGCCTGGCCCCTGGCCACTTCTATGACCCAAGAGGCAGAAGGTGCTGGGGCAGGCACAGTGCTGCCCTCTTCTGCCTTTGGCTGAGTTCCACTCTGCAGGGGCCTGAAGGGTTCCCCATACTTCTAACCCCTCTCTCTCCATGTACTTTATCCCTGCCCTGAGACACCCTCTCCATTTCCTCTCAGCTGAGATGTGCTGAGCAGAGCAGTTACCAGGCAAAAGCCCTATGCAAACTTGGTGAGTCCCTACCTTCCCAGGGCTCAGTTTCACCACAAGTAAAATGGTGATGTGCTTGGTGGAGAATGGAGTGGCTTGGCAACTTTGGCGGCCTCTTTTGGGATGAGCCATTTATTGCCAGGGGATGACAGCCCCACCTGAAGCAACATTTAGTTCTCCAAGTTTGGGAGCTTCCCAAGGTCAGCCTGGGAAGACAGGGTATGGAATTACAAGAGGGAAACAGGTGGGGGAGGCTGGGGATGATGGACCTGGCGGCCCTAGGGCCCTACCATGGCTCTTGCAATGCCCTCTGAGGCAAGGTGTTGAGGCTGAGCCTCAAAAGGCCTTCAAACCTCTTCCAATGTGGCTCTTGGAGAGCTGGTGGCTGAAGAGATAGCCCCTGGAGACGGGACACAGGACAAAGAGCTCAGAGCCAGGTTCAGAAAGAGGGTGGCAACTCACCCTGCCATTCCTGGGCCACCCCTGTAAAAGCTTGTCTGCAAGGGTGGAGTCAGAATAGATCAGGGAAGATGCATGAAAAGATGTTTGCTTTAAGGAACAGAGAGAGCCACGGGGGAGGCACAGGCTCAAGATCTCTCTAAAGGGTGTGTGTGTGTGTATGTATGTATGTGTGTGTGTGTGTGTGTGTGTGTGTGTGTTACATACATGGGGGGTTGTTGAGAGAGATACAGACAAAGTAGAGAAAAGAGGAAAGATGAAAGAAAAACAGGTAAAAGGTAAGAGAAAGATGAGGACATATAAAAGGAGATTGGAAAGGAGGGAGAAAGGAGAGGAAAATGGAA